AGGTCAGTCCAGGGAGGACGGACAGGTCAAGGGGGCGGGATGAGGTTGGTCGGTAGGAGATGGAGGTGCGGCTTGAGGTGGGAGGAGGGGATAGGATTACTTTGTGCATGCCCAGGCACACATGTAAAACAACTTACCTAGTCAAAAAGGTTTTTAAGTCTCAATTTATCTAGTTCTCAAAACTAAAAGCACTTCACAGGGGTGGGAACCTTTCCACTCTCCCTCACAATCCAAAGTCAGACAACTGGGGGAGCGCAGTCTGGACTTGAATTCACTCACGGTATAGGTGTTTGTGAAGCATTGACATCAAGTCTCTCCCTGCAACTGCAGCAGAAAACTCCCAATCCCCGATTTTCATGGAATGCGGCAGTTAAACAACAACCTGTGCTGATTGTTTTATCTTTGCAAACGCAGTAAAACAATAAAGAATGGCTCCGCCTGGGAAGGGACAGACAAATACAGTGGAGAACTGAGAGTGTGTGTAAACAAAAATCACTGCTTTAAAAGGGCCGCAGTCACATTACAGCAGATCCTTGGCGGCGGCGGCACAAGCCCCAGTGCCCAAGCTGTGGTGGGTCGGCGGTACCGACGCCTACACTAAACTTTAACTGGGGAGTTGGAGAGGGCTCCGGTACTGGGGGGGAGGGGCAGAGAAACTAACCTTACTGAACACCTCCAAGTCATCGTCCTCATCGTCATCCTCAAAACCCAGCACGTCCTTAGACAGCGGGTGAGGAGCGGCCGCTTTCGAAGTTTTACCGCCGGCCAAAGCCGTACTTTCCATCGCCCTCAGTCCAACGGCCGCTGATGTGTCAGCCCGACCTTCAGCCCCGCCCCCCCACCCACCCAGCCGCCCGGCCCCGCCCCCCCCCCCCTCCATGCCGCCCCCCCGCCCCCCCCCCCCCCCCCTGCCTGCCCGCGGACTGACCCCGCCTCCTCACCGCCTGTGGTCCCTCCCCTTCCCCCACCTCACGGCCAAGACCCAGAGCAGGGCCTGACCCCCTCTCAGACTCAGTTACGCTAATATCATGGGCGTTTCACAATAGAATCATTGAGTTGTGGAGCACAGAAACAGACACTTCGGACCAAATGCCGACCAGATATCCTAAATTAATCTAGTCCCCTTTACCAGCATTTGGCTCATATCGCTCTAAACCCCTCCTGTTCATATACCCATCCAGATGCCTTTTAAAGGTTGTAATTGTACCAGCCTCCACCACTTCCTCTGGCAGCTTATGTCCCTGCACACACCATCTTCAGCTTGAAAAAAATGCCCCTTAGGTCCGTTTTATATCTTTCCCTGCTCACCTTAAACCTATGTTGTCTAGTTTTGGACTTCACTGCCGTGGGAAAAAGACGCGGGCTATCTTCTCAATCCACCATCGTCAATTTGACTTTCGTATCCTTACAGTTTCCATTTTCAGATGCTAACATCACACTGAATCACATCACATACAACCTTCTTGTAAAATTCTC